TACCTCACAGTTTCTGCAAAGTTTACAATGACGACTTCTTCAAATCCTTTCCTCAACCCATTCTCTGACCTTCCTAAAAGCTCTCCCCACCTGAGCACTGTCGAAGTTTTCTGACATCCCAAAACCACTCCACACTGCTTTTTCCTAGAAAGTCTTAGAATATTTCCAGTTTCTGCCCAACAAACAAACAAACACAAATTTCCATCAGTATTGTCTTATGCCTCTTTCTGTAGGACATACTGCTATCTCTGATCTCCAACTTGTGGCTTTTGCCTACTTTTTAAGCTTTTTGCTTTTAAGTTAAAATGTGTTGGTTTGGATCTTGGACAGTTTCAAACTCACAGCTGATATTTAGCAAGATAGAAACAACAGTCTGCATTTTTGTTGTATAATTATGGGAAGAATGCACACAAAAGGTCACAGTCTATAGCCCTGCATCTTAGCCCAAGTCTTCGGATGCCATAGGTTTGTAGAAGCCAGAATCAGTTTCGCCCAAGAACAGTCTCCTTTCCGTGGTACAGTGGTTCATACCGAGTTCCAGACAGGACTCCATCCTGGGGCAGAGAAGAGCCTTTTTCTGAGTATTTCAGCACTTCCTCTTCGTCTGGAACTTCTAAAGCATCATAAAGAAGGAATGTAGCAGTGGCTGTGAAAGCCTGACTGAAGCTTTTTACCTAAAAATTACTTGCTGTGTCAATGCTAGCAGTATTTGCTGCTTTCTTTATGGCTTTAAGGTATTTGAAGTTGTGGCTACATGACACCTCAGGAACTGGAAACTAGTTTTATTTTAAATCTTTGGGGAGGGAAAAGGTCAAAAAACATTCTCCAAATGAACATCTAAGACTCAGAAAACAATGAAAATCTCCCAACTTTTTTTTTTTTACGATTTTGTATAATGAAATCACGTGGCCTTAAGTCATGCCAGGAGAGGTTCTGATTGGGTATTAGAAAGAATAAGTTGCCCAGGGAGGTGGTAGAGTAACAGTCTTTGGAAGTGTTCAAGAGGCATCTGGATATGGCACTTAGTGATGTGGTTTAGGGGTAATTCTGGCGCTAAGTTGATGCTTGGACTAGATGATCTTAGAGGTGTCTTCCAACCTTAAAGATTCTGTGATTTTGTGATTCTCAATGATTCTGTGATTTTTCAAGTGTCCATGGTTTTTGAGGACAGATGGAGGCTGGGTGTTTTGAGCCAGCACAGATACTCAACAGATAATCAGCAAAAATTTTACACATGCACTGATGTGTAGCAAGCCTCCTTTCTGCCATAGCCCAAGAAGACCAAGAACGCACTTTGGCATTAAAATGGGAATTTATCGACATACATATTAAGCCTCCAACAACAACCATATGTGTGTGTGTACATGCTTATAGGAATATATTTATTTTCCATAAAACACGTCCCCAGAACTAAGTAATGGGTACATAATTTATATTTCTAATGAAGAAATGTTATTGTTGCATTAGGAAATCCCAAAATGTTGGGAAAGTATGATGTAGAAATATCTGTACATTTGCCCTATTCTGAAATTCTTTTGGCAACCATATTTAGCCATGGTTAGAGGCATGACACTAAGCTAGCTGGACCTAAGCTAGCTGGACCTTGATTTTACAAAATATTTTCATAATTTCTTTGGAAAAATTAAGTCATATGGTGAGCATTGAAACACATCCAGTCCTTACAGGAGATGTTCTCAGAGCAAAAGTATCACTGCTTGTACGTGGATACACCAGCAGAAAAAAATACCAGAAAGATTTGGATCTACTGAATTCAAATTCTTTTTTTAATGGAAGAATGCTGTAACTGTGTAACTATACACCATAATATGTAGGAGAGTGAATGACTTCCTTTTTGCTTCTCCACTTGAGCAGTATAGCACAGAGTATTTAGCTCAGATTTTGAGACTGGTTATAGCCATGTCAGACTTTGATTTTCTGAGAATGTTAAAAGGAAAATAGATGAGGTTTTACATGAAGAGGACTATCAGTTATTTCCAGTTCCTTGGGACATTCACAACTTATTTCAGAAGACAGAGAAATAGCTTTCTGTTCAGTACCTTAGAAAATTATTAATTCACCTAAGGATTCCAGCTGTCCAGCTGGACCTAGTTTGAGTCACTAGTTATTGTGATCATTTCTGTTTCTATAAGTGGGAATGATTGGACCATCTCACATGTTGGATTCTGGTCTGCAGCCCTTTATAGTATATTTCAAAAACTGTATTAAGCTTAGCTCTATAGGTCCCTGACTTTTCTTTGAAGAGTATTTGCAGGGATGAAAAAAAATGGCACACAAAAAAGGCTTGTGATAATGGTACTGGTGGCAAACAGTACCAGGTAAAGCAGTAGGAAATACTTGTTTCACCCTCCTGTTTGTGAGACACTGGATTATTATATTAATTATTGTTTCAGACCAACTCAAGTGTGTGTAGGGAGGTGGGAGGAACAGATCAAATCTCACAGAGATGAGGTGATACCCTGTGCCACATTCCAGCCCCTGTGAGACTCCTAGGGCAGCCCTGGAGCAGCTGTTAGTCACTGGGCATCAGGCGCACAGCCTATACCACACCCTGGAGCCCTTAACCCAGCCCCAGATTGCAGCACACCAGAAGTGCCACCAGGGAGCAAGGGGTGTGACCACAGTGGGACCAAAGCACGTAACAGCAGCAACATGTGCTCTCTATGTTTGTTTGATCCCTAACACCTGTACATACGGAAGCTGGACTCTCACAGGACTGTCTAGTAGTAGTTATGATTTTTCCTCTTGCTTTTCTCTCATTCTTTATTTCTTCTCTTAATCTCCTTTCTTAATAGTTTGGGTAACATGGGACTAAATGGGTTGGATTTTGCTAAGTTGTATGGGTTAGCACGTGCCAAGTCAGTGCTTTGTGGAATGCTTTGTTTCGGTTGAATGTTACCCTTTAAACTTTTGCCAAGATCTCTTATTTCTAAAAGTTTACCAGTAAAAGTACCCCCTGAGAAAATGTGTGCAGCTTTTCTCCTATACACTCTCTCTTAAAGTGTCAAAAGAAGCAAAGGTGCTTCTAATAATTCGGCAGGCAAAGTTTTTGGAGCCCTGTATATTTTTAACGTAAAATCCTTTGGTAATCTCATAGCTCAAGACTTGGGGTCTTACACTGTTGCATATTCCTCTAGCTGAAGCTGAACTGATGTTATGCAATCTGCTGACCAGTTAGCATTCTCACATCAAGTTTCTTTTCAAAGGTATCATTTAGACCCACGCCAGCTGCTGCTGTCATTACTTTTTTACTGTCATTGCAATTCTTCTTCCAAAGCAAGACTGTTTATTCAAAAATCCTCAATTTTTATTAAAGTGTAGAATTATTTGACAATTATATTCCTAAATTCAGAGGCAGAATTGCAAAACTTCAAACACCAAGCAACTAACAACTTTTCAATACCACTGCTGTTCCATACTTGTTAAATTACTGGAAGACACTGTTAAGGAGTGTAATGTCTGTTACCAGATTATGTGAGGATTTATTTCATGCCTAAATAATACAAATATATTAATCTATAGTGACTCTTCATTTTTTAATTTTTTTTTAAATATAAAAAGACTACCTCTTGCAAGAGGAACTGTTATATTTTACATATAACATTTATATTTTTCACTCACAGAATTACACTAGTAGTATAAAACTGAAAACACATTCAACTATACAAGAATTTACACCCTATTTGTGTCATCAGTGCTCCTTTGCAGTGTCCAGATAACTATAAAAATTGATCTTTCTTTCTGTAGGCACATAGTCTTCAGGGCATTTCCCAGTGTAATCTTAAGCTAGTATCAAAGTCAAGCATACATATTTTGAGGTACCTTTTTAATGACTATGAAATGTCAAAGAGAAAAAGCCTAGCTGCTGGCTCCCATGAGCATGACTACTTTCATAAATCACTGAATGTGACTAATCCAATATTTGGTTATGTATAACTTTCTTTGGAAAGCACAATGCTATGGCATCTACTACTAATATTTATGCAGACTTAAAAATTATCTTCATGACTGTTTTAATGAGACAGTTGCCAAAGATTTCACTGTGATGTAATTGTGCTCTATTCTGGTTTTGTATTTACTTTTGTATATATTTCTATAAAGTCAGTGATTCATTAACAGATTAAGTGGTGAGACAATATTTGTATATTGTATCCATACAGTATGGGCAGGATAAAAGTGAGACAAATGCACCAAAGAGTAGAATTCAGACTTGGATTAACATAAAACTTCAAACTGAAATGAAGTTCAGATCTGTGCTGGAAGGTAAGCTCTGAATAGATTGTAGTATCTTACCTAAGTGTGCCAAAAATCTCATAGGCTTAGTAAAGTGTCAGCTCACAACTACAAAAAACTCACAAACTCCTAATATTCCACTTTCTTGGTTTATCACACCTCGAATTCATATAAACCACTATCACACTGTAAATTTAAGAGTTACTTCAATGTATGCTGCTCTGGAAAACTGTATCCCTTTAAGTTTTGTATTCAATCAGAAACAAACAAGAAAGCAGGATAGAGTTGAACTGGTTAAATAGAACTGAAATGCCATTCTGTCCCGTTTTCCTGTCTTGGAATTGCCCTCTTCCAAATTCTGCTTGAGCATCCTGCCCCTAACAAAGTCCCTGAAATACAGAAACTGAAGTTATAAGAAAACCCTCATTTACATCCTGTAACAACCCCTAGAAGCTGCCGTTACTATTCTATCTTCAGCAGAAAACACTGGCCTATCCTTGCCTCTTCTTCTGCAATATTTGAATTCCATAGGTATGTTATTTAACTTGGTAAAGTGTTTGTTTGGGGCAGTACATGGAATGAAAGACATTATAGAAATTAACATTCTATACTATTGCTTCATAGTTCTCTGAATAGATAATATCATTGACACAAATGGCTGAAGAAAAAAAGTCATGAGAACTGAGGATGTGTGGGCACTGAAATATTTCAAGAATTGACTAATGTTTTCCTTTCTCTGTTTAGTCTGACAGATGACAATATGTCTTGAATACTTTGGGACAGAATGATGGAGAAGATGAAAAAGCCATTTTAGAAATGCATTTCTCATTCCAAATGTTTCACTTTGCCTTTCAAGGGTGTTTCAAGAACGTTTCTTTCAGTAATGGCAATATGTAATCCACATAAGAGGTACTAGACAAAATGCATCCTTCCTGCCCTGCAAACAATGACTACAGGTTTAAACTGGTTTTGGTAAGTGTTCTTCAGGAAATGTTATTTCTTGTAACCTCTAATTGTGAATTACAATTATATTTGTAATTGGAGAAGTCTGTGGTTTTTCTTACCATGAGGAAATCTCTAGCATTTCTAGTAACCAAAAATCTTCAGGCTTCTAGGAAATGTCCAGCTTTCTTAAACTGTGCAAACTAGGGCCTCTAGAATATGAAACTCCTCCTTGAGCGAAGACAGCAAGATGCTGCTCACAACAGAGAACAGTTTACCAGTGTAAGTTTCTCAAAAATGGTCTCTTAATTTTGTAGAAGTTTGGGAAATAAGAAGATAAGCATTTTATCTCTATTTGTTTATTGCAGCCCTTGTGTTCTCCAGTGCAGACCATGGTCTTCTTGCTGTAAGCAGTGAGAGTACATGGTCCCCTCTGTGCACGCAGCCTGGGAGCCCAATGTCTGCCTGCAGCACCCCATGCACCACCTGTCCTCCACAGTCAGCCTGCAAGGCAAGCCAAAGGCAGAAGCTATGGGTCTTTTCCTCATTCATTGAAGATACACAGAGCAGCAGCCAAAATGACGCACAAAAATGACAGTTTACCAGCTGAAAGTACAGCAGGAGGTCAATCATTAGTGGATTTACTAGTTTCAGATCTCCATCCTATCTACCCAAATAGCAACCTGTTTTATTTTTTTTTTAGTTTTACTGTTTTATCTAAAGATAACATACTATGCTATAACAATGACTTGTGTAATGATGTGTGCAAACTTACAAAGATGGAAGGACTTTGGATTAGTGAAAATCTCGTATTTTTCAAATATAATATTTGCCTGAGTCACACTAAAACCAATATCTCAAGTTTCTCACAAGCTCAAGAGTACAAATAAATGTCTTTGGAAAACACGTTTTCTGTCCTCCCTTTAAAAGCATCTTCTCTGAGTTTGCGGATGCTGAATAAAATTGGTACTTGCAGTGCCATCAGCTGGCCTGGGCCAACCTAGATAGATGGGTTGCTCTGAAATCTAAAAGTCGGAAAACGTTCAGGGATGCCCTATGAGAAGGAATCTGGAAGTCATGGGAAACCTACTAGAGACAGTAGTCTTATCATAGAATTATAGAATCATAGAATTAACTGGGTTGGAAGAGATCATCAAGTTCAAACCTTGATCCAACCCCACTGTGATTACTAGATCATGGCACTCAGTGCCACATCCAGCCTCATCTTAAAAACCTCCAGGGACGGTGAATCCACCACCTCTCTGGGCAGGCCATTCCAATGCCTGATCACTCTCTCTGTAAAGAACTTCTTTCTAATATCCAATCTAAACCTCCCCTGACAGAGCTTAAGACCATGCCCTCTTGTCCTGCTGCTGATTGCCTGGGAGAAGAGACCGACCCCCACCTGGCTACAACCTCCTTTCAGAGGAGAGTGATGAGGTCACCCCTGAGCCTCCTCTTCTCCAGACTTAACAACCCCAGCTCCCTCAGCCTCTCCTCATAGGACTTGTGCTCAAGTCCCTTCACCAGCCTGGTTGCTCTTCTCTGGACCTGCTCCAGCACTTCAATATCTTTCCTGAACTGAGGGGCCCAGAACTGAACACAATACTCAAGGTGTGGCCTCACCAGCACTGAGTACAGGGGAAGGATCACTTCCCTGCTCCTGCTGGCCACACTGTTCTTGATGCAGGCCAGGATGCCATTGGCTTTCTTGGCCACCTGGGCACACTGCTGGCTCATGTTCAGCTTCCTGTCAATCAGCACTCCCAGATCCCTTTCCCTGCTCTCCAACCATTCTGTGCCCAGCCTGTAGTGCTGCAGGGGTTGTTGTGGCCAAAGTGCAGGACCCGGCACTTGGCCTTGTTGAACTTCATCCTGTTGGAATCGGCCCAACTCTCCAGCCTATCCAGGTCCCTCTGCAGAGCCCTCCTGCCTTCCAGCAGGTTGACACGCCCTCCTAACTTGGTGTTGTCTGCAAATTTGCTGATGATGGACTCAATCCCCTCATCTAAATCATAAATAAAGATATTAAACAGGACTGGGCCCAGCACTGATCCCTGGGTGACACCACTGGTGACCGGCCGCCAGCTGGATGCAGCCCCGTTCACCAGCACTCTCTGGGCCCAGCCCTCCAGCCAGTTCTTAACCCAGCACAGAGTGCCCCTGTCCAAGCCATGGGCTGCCACCTTTTCCAGGAGCATATTATGGGAGACAGTGTCAAAGGCTTTGCTGAAGTCCAAATAGACACATCCACAGCCTTTCCCTCATCCACCAGGCGGGTCACCTAATCATATAAGGAGATCAGGTTGGTCAGACAGGACCTGCCCCTCCTAAACCCTTGCTGGCTGGGTCTGATCCTTTATCCATCCTGTAGGTGCCATGTGATTGCACTCAGGATGATCTGCTCCATAACCTTGCCAGGCACTGAGGTCAGGCTGACAGGCCTGTAGTTTCCCAGGTCCTCCTTGCAGCCCTTTTTGTGGATCAGTGTGACATTCACCAACTTCCAATCATCTGGGACCCCCCCAGAGAGCCAGGACTGTTGGTAAATGATGGAGAGCAGCTTGGCAAGCTCTTCTGCCAGCTCCCTCATCACTCTAGGATGGATCCCATCTGGTGCCATGGACTTGTGTGGATCCAGGTGGCTCAGTAAGTCACTGACTATTTCCTCCTGGAACAAGGGGGGCTATTCAGTTTCCTGTCCCTGTCTACCAGCTCCAGAGGCTAGTTGTCCTGAGGGTCACCTGTCCTACTGGTGAATACTGAGGCAAAGTAGGTGTTAAGTACTTCAGCCTTCTCCTAATGTCCTCTGGCTATCCGAACTCAAGGACTATCAGACTTATTATGGTCAATTTTAATGAAAATTCCCTGTAGTACAGGCAAATTTTGAGGTTGAGGAATGGAACATGCTTGGAAAAATATGTGAATTTAAATTTCAGAACAAATATATTTTGTCCTTGATAGATCATTTACTATACTTCAAAGAAGGACTTGGGGTGCTGGTGGATGAGAAACTGGGCATGAGCAATTAATGTGCACTTGCAGCCCAGAAAGCCACCCTGGGCTGCATTAAAAGAATCTGACCAGCAGGCCAAGCAGGGTGATTCTGCCTCTCTACTCTGCTCTCATGAGACTCCACCTGGAGTGCTGCATCCAGCTCTGGATCCTCAGCACAGGAAGACATGGACCTGTTGGCACAAGTCCAGAGGAGGGCCAAAAAAATGATTGGAAGACTGGTGCACTGCTGCTGTGAGGATAGGCTGAGAGAGTTGGGGCTGTTCGAAATGGAAAAGAGAAGGCTTCAGGAAGACTTTACTTCAGTCTTTCGGTAATTAAAGGGGGTTTATTAAGCAGGGCTTGTTGCAGTAGGTTTTAGATTAAAAGATGGTAAATTCAGACAAGATATAAGGAAGAATTTTTTTAAGAGACTAACAGGTTGCCCAGAAAACTGTGGATGTCCCATTCCTGGAAACATTCAAGGTCAGCTTGGATGGAGTTCACTGCAGAGGCAGTTATACTAGGTGACCTTTAAAGGTCCCTTCCAACTCAAAGCACTCCCTGATTCTATCCTCTTAGCAGATCTTCCACATCAAAAATGTTACAGAAGACATGAATTCTACAAGTTATTTTAAGAATTTATCTTCAGTTTGGTTAAGACTTTAATTTCCTAGCCCCCTACAATATATGTCAAGAAAGTAAGTATTTCACATTACCATTTTTTTGTAAAAGTGGCAGCACTGTGTTTGCAAGAGTTACATGGAAAGGCAGATCACCTTGCTTGAGATATGTCTATAAAAACAGCTGTTTTTCCTTTGCAGTGCAGCATGAAACAGAGACTGACTGAGTCAAGTTATAGAAATTTTCCTTTCTAATAAAATTGAGGTTAGACATGGAAAATTATCACTTGAACAAATGAGAGCTTGGAGCTTAATAGAAATATTTCAGAGAACTCAGGGAAATTGCCTATCCTCTTCCTGAATACAAGAGACTAAAAATAAAATAATATAAATGTATTTCTTATGCTCCAATTAGTTATTGTTTTAAATTGTTTAAAAATGCATGGGTAAATCTTGTTTTTTAAACAAAGACGTTTCCAAAAATGTTGTATGGTTACAATGTTTTAGACATAATTGTTACTTGCTACATGTGACCTGTTTGAATTAGACTATATTTTGGTTTAATATGACACATTTCTGACACCTTAAAAGCAATATTACAATAATTATCTCTAACATTTCAGCAGCATTAACAGTTTTTATAAGAAATACAACATTTTTATCTAAGGGACGTTTTGTGCCCAAGAAGAAAATTGTTTACTTTAAGGCAGGGACTTATAAAACAATAAGTCTAACACTTTGATTTCCTTTCTGCTTCCCTGGCTCCAAAACAAGAAGCCATGAAAGGACTGTATCCTGGAACAGGGAGTCCCCACCGACAGCTTGTGCTTGAGTGGTGGCACAGGCCTGTCCTGTAGATTCAAAAAACCTTTTCCAAACTTCCAAGTCTGTAAGTCTTGGCTCCACAGTAGGAGCCCGAGACCCCTTCCAAGAGGGTGGTGAAGCTTAGCCAGGCTGCAGACCTGGAGTGCACAGCCCTACTCTGGAAATGTTCCTGCAGCTACCTAACCCAGAGCTGCAGACGCTGCCTGGCAGCGTTACATCTGGCTAGGTTCAGAATCCAGGTCAGGCTCAAATTCTCTGAAAGTTTGTTAAAACTGAGACATTTTGGACAAGACATTCAAGACTCAACAAAAAGGCATTTTTAAAGTAAATTCTTTAACTGTGCAATTCATAACAAATACCAACTGTGAGCTAACTCATTAAATAAACAGCAAAGGGTTGAATTTTGGCTGCCTTCAGTACCTCTCTTCTCTAGCTTTAAGGAAGGTATCAGTTCTCTAGTGAGAGGCTAATTAAGCTTCTTGTTTCTCTTGATACAGTCACTAATAAGTATTATTCCCCACAAAAGCCTCTGACACAGGAAAATACTTATTACTATTTTAAAGCCAAAATATAGAACACTAGCTGTAACTGACATGGTTGGTACAGGATATCCGTGGATGCACCAGGACATTAACCTGATTTTTGGAGTTCCTATTCCAATCTGCTTTGCTGACCTTAGAACTTCTGTTTCCATCTTTTTTTCCCCTTACTGCAGCAGTACAGTCTCAATGCCACATTTTTGTCTTTCAGCTGCATCTATTTAATTATGAGTCAGTATCCCAAAAGAAGAACAAAGTGATTATACTTCTATGTGAATTTTCAGAATACTTGTCTGGTTATAGATATATGAATGAAAATAACTTAGGAGCATATAAATAGAAAATTAAAGCTTTATTGTGGCTTCTTTGAAATTCTGGAATGCATCTCAGAAGACAGAAAAGGAAACTGAAAAAAAGGCTTTGTTTTAGCTGATAAATGTTTGTTCCTTCAAGTTTAAAATCCATGGCAGAAAAGGATAATGAAACAAGCCCACCAACAGTGGCTAAATCTATTAACTTCATTTTTATTTTAAGAATATTTTTTTAAAATTAAAAAATTAGTTATAAAGATGCTTAATTAATTGGCATATAGATCAAAATAGCTAACATTTATAAGTATTAAATGCTGAATTATTCTGAAAATAAACATGATCTTTAATATTATTATTTTGTCAGAAATATTACTGTTTTTTCTTTTTGTTAGCTGAATGTGGGTTTTGAAATAGAATCACTTCCTACAGAGCTGCTTTGGAGGGTCAGAAAGATCTAAACTACAGCTCAGACCATCTTCTTCTTGCATTACATAGAGATTTCCCAGCAGATGAAGAGGGACTTTCCAGACCTGTTTTCTGTAATTGTGGCTTCAATTATCCCATGTGGCATCAGCAATATCTCCAAACCCTAGAAAAGTTTATTCTTGTTCTAAGTTTGAGAGTAGAGGTAAAGAGGATATCCAGAAAAGGTGAAAAGCCAAAATGCTGAAGCAATGGTGGAGTATTTACTA